GAGCAGGGAGCCCGATGTGGGACTCGATCCCAGGACCCTGGGATCATGACCTGAGCCAAAGGCAGACGCTTAACCATCTGAGCCACCCAGGCGCCCATGTTTAGCTCACTTTCTATTAAGACTTTAGATACAGATTCTCTGAGCTATTTGCTTTCAAATTTCACCTCTAAGCATGAATTCTTGGAATAAGCATGTTCATGAAAAAATAATGTGATAAATATGCTAAGATATATGTTTAAGGATATTAATTGTTTTGTTGTTTATAAGAGCGTTAAAAAATGGAAACAACCCAAATATCCATCAGTAGATTAATGGTTAGTACAACCAAAATAAAATGAATGATTAATGTAGATATGTATCTTTTAACATGCAAAGACTTTGCTAATGTGTAGAGTAAAAAAAAATTCTCTAAAAACAAAATTATGTATTTCAGAATGATCCCATTTGTGTGAAAATGAAAACTATGAAAATACAAATAATGTAAAATAGAATGATGGACATTTTTATTTTCTTCTTTATGCTTTTTAGAATTTATAAGAAATCTTAGAGTATTTATTACTTATATAAATGATTAAACTTTTCTTTTGGTTGTGGGAAGAGTTCTAAATTTATTCTGTTGACTTACCACAGATAAAAAAGCTGTAGAAAAATGATCTCCATTCATTGAACAACTTTTGTTGAATATCTGTTATGTACTAGGCACTAAAAACAAAAGAGTCAGAATCTAGTTCTTGAACTCCTTGTGACTTTAGATAGAGATGGGAATCATAAATGGAGCAATAGGGATCCATGTCCTTCAGACTTGTCACTTCAGAGTGGCCTTTTGTCTTAGGCCAGTTTTTTTTCTTTAAACTAAACCGATTGATCTCTGTGTTCTGGCTGTAAACTATGAACAAAATCAGATTTTTCAAGGTCTGACTTTTTAATTGAAAAAAAATCAATTCTCCATTTTGCCAGGAGGAGAAAAAGCAACTCTGAGACATTTGGGGCCAGAGAAAAATGTTTAAATGTTTTGAGTTGACATTGAAAACTTATGCATGTAATAATTATACTTTTATTCTGTACTGTATCATTTTCTCCTTCTATGAAATATATTTTTAGATATTTAATTACACGTTACAATAATTGTGTCCGTATTTATTGTTAATTTTAACATTGAAGTTCCCAGAGGGAGGACTTGTCATCTTGATAATGCAGTAATGCCTAGCACCCTGGCATTCCTGTGAGCGTAACGTTGTCCGAACTTGGCTTGCTCAGGATAAGACAGAACACGTCGCAGGTCTAGTGGCAGCCAACCACGGTTAATTGTATGCAGCCGGGAGGCCAAGGAGGACCCTGTGGCAGATTCATTTTTGATAATCTGTTGCGACTAAGTGTGGGTGCTGGATTTTTGAAATACTCATAATCTAAACAAAGTCAGTGTTTGGGGATTTTTAATTGGTTATCCTTTTAAATTAAAGAAGCTGTTAGACTGAGCTTTTTTTTTTTTTTTTTTTTTTGTAGTTTATACAGTAGTAGAGGCTAATAATAATAGTTTCCAAATGTTTTGTGGGAATTTACAAGCATTTTCATATATGATACTTCATTTAATCTTTAGACCACCTCTGAGGCAGATATTATTCCAGCTTTACAGGTGAGAAAACAGAAATCTAGTTAGGTTAAATGACTTGTCTAAAGTCACAGAGCTAAGAAGAAATAGACCTGGATCCACATGTAGGTGTCTGGACTTCAAGTACCATTCTCTTTCAGCTATACCCAGCTGCTATGACTCTCTCTCTGCCTTTTAAGTTGGAAATATGGGGGCATTACTGAGTTTTAGTGGCTTGACTCAGCCTAGTCATAACTGCCCCTGAAGCCACCTCTAATTGTCAATATTAAGCATGTTTTCTTTACGTTCCACAAAGAACCACTGACAAGGTTTATACAAGAGTCCTTCTGATTGAGCTGTTACCCTGCAACTTACCGTTTTATAAGTCCAGTTAACAGTCTGGGATCATCATGCCTTTTATCCTAGGACTCAAAGAGAACATTTACATAAATACAGAGATCAGCCCATTGATGTGGTAACTCCAATACTGAAATGGAATAAAATTTAGTTATTAAATAAAGATATGTAAATTCAGTAAGTGAATGTGGACCAACATTTCACCAACAACTGCTAAAATGTGAAGTCGTTATCAGTTATATACACTTATAATCGAAAGACCACTAAAGGAAATTAATGTGATCAGAACTTTCTGATATTAAGAGATTAAAATACATGTTAATAGGTAGAATTTAAGGGAGCCAAAGGAAGATGTAAATTGTGATGGGATTATTAAAGAAATGGGTTGAGAGACAGACCTTCTGTATCTTGGCGTAAAAAGGCTTACTACACAGAGGATATTTTGTTTCTTGACCTTAATTATGAGTATTGTTGTAGGCCCTTAAATTTTTGTTAGCTCAGAATAGAGACAGATTAATCCTAAAGCAGTTAATTAAATTCTCTTCCATCTCTTTTTTTTATGTTAATGCAGCGTAGGGAAATGAGTCTCTAAACCAATTCTGAAATAGAATTTAACTTTTATTTCACTTATGTATCTCTTAATTTTCTTTTACCCTATATGGCATTTTCTAGAATAAAATTCTCTTGATTTTTTTTTACTCTAGGCTTGATCCTTCACTACCTGAGACGTCAAAAAAGGAGCACAGCTCAGCTGAAAACATGTCTTTAGAAACTCTAAGAAACAGTAGTTCAGAAGACCTCTTTGATGAGATTTAACTGTCTCAAAAAGGTACTTTGATGTTCACGAGACTATGTTTTCTGTTCATTTCTTTAAAAAAGCAAGATTTCAACTCAGCAGCAGCTATTACTGTACCTTACAATTTAATTACATACACACTGAATTGAAACCATTGTGCAAAATGGATTATACATGTATATGAAGATGTGATTTGATGACAGTGGTACATTATTCTAAACTATTCATTCACATGCCTGTAATTACATAAAACCTCAGACTTTTTATTGCAAAGGACACATTTATCTTATTTAATTCACACATATTATATGTGGTAGCTGTCTAACATCCTGTCTAGGAAGATTTTAGAAATAGGACAAAGAAAATGTCTACAGTTCTTTTTTGAATAATCATATTCTGAACAGTGAGCATTTTAATCTGTGAAGTGATGTATAAAATTTATTTTTAGTTTGTACACAATCTCAGAATCTGATGACAAAATTGTTGATGCATTGAAGATTTTGTGTTCCTAATAAAATATGTTATTTACCTTAGTTTTTTCCTTTTTTATAGTAACAGGCTTTGCAAGGTGCTTATTAATATAAATGAAACCGCTTTTTTATCAAAAATATATTTTTCAGAGATTGTTGATGAAAGATTTCTTACACATTAAGGGCCTTCTTTGAAAATAAGGACCGTGCGATATTATCATCCTCAATAACATCTAGCACAATTAAAAAAAAAAAAATACTTACTGTTTCTACTACCCTCTCATTTTGTCCTCACTTCTCTCCAGTTGAACATCCATTTTCTCTGTGGTTCTCAAAGTTAACAGTGACCACCGTGTTGCTAAATTCAATGGTTGGTCCATTTTCAGTCCTAATCTTACTAAGCCTCTCAGCTACACCTGACATAGTCAATCACTTCTCCTCAATAAACATTTTTTTCACCTGACTTTTGCAATAACATAGGCTGTTTGTATTCCTTTCTTTTTGGCCCCTGAGTCTTTGTCCTTGACGACCAACAGTTAAGTGTTTGTGTGCCTTGGGCTTAATCTTCAGCTTTCTTCTTTTCATTACCTACATTGTCTCCCTAGCTTTTCTTTGGCTTTAAATACCATTTGCATGCTAATATCTCCAAAATTAGAAGAGTTCTATTTCCGTAGTCGTGTGTATATATATATATATATGTGCAGTTGACCCTTGAACACTGTAGGGGTTGGGGCACTGATACCCTGGGTAGTCAAAAAAGTGTGTATAACTTTTGATTCCCTAAAAACTTAACTACTAAGAGCCTACTCTTGACTGGAAGCCTTACAGATAATTTAAATTCAATTAATACATATTTTGTATTTATATGTATTATATATTGGATTCTTATAATAAACTAAGCTAGAGAAAGGAAAATATTACTAAGAAATCCTAGGGAAGAGACAATACATTTAACTAGAATCCTGTAAAAAAAAAATCTGTGTATAAGTGAACCTGCACGGTTCAAACCCATGTTGTTCAAAGGTCAGGTGTATAATATATCATTAATTTATCGCAAAAGGAGCTTCTTAAAAATCTGACTGAGTACATCTGTCTGTTTTGGATGATTATTTGGATGTTTAGATACATCTAAAGTGGAGATCTGAATGTGTTCCATCATTTTTCCCCCCAGTCTTCCCCATCCAACAAATTGTGCAACCATGTACCTAGTTGCTCCAGGCTAAAAACCCAGTGCCTCTGCTTCCCTCATCTTCACATCCTGGCATTTTTACCTCCAAATTACAGCTTGACTCTGTCTACTTCTCTCTCTCTCTGTCTGCTACATCTGCCTCCTGACTGGTCTCCCTGCTCATCTCCTACTCTGCAATGCAGACAAACTGAATTTTTTAAATTTTAGGTAAGATCAAAACCTTCCAGTAGTAATCCATTGCCCTTTGAATAAAGTTCACACTCCTTACCACAGCGTATAAGGTCTGATATGATCTGGCCCCTACCTGTCTTTCTCCTTGATTTCCGGCTCCTTTCTCTTTGCTTGCCTTGCTCTTTACTGTCCCTCAAGGAGGCCAGATCTCAGAACAATTGTATTGTTGGGCGCTATACTCAGAATGTTCATCTTTATATGGTTGGTTTCTTCTCTTCTTTCAGGTCTAGAACCAAATGTCACCTCCTCAGAGGTGCTTTCCCTGAAATACCCTTTCTAAAGATGAGCACACTCCCAGTCACTGTCTCATGGGAGTGTTTTTTTCATTGTGCATATTACTACCTAGAGTTATTTTTTCATCTCTCTCTCTCTTTCATGTCTCCCAGTAGGAAATAAGCCCCATCATAGCAGAGGCATGACCATCTGCTTTATCTATTTTCAGTTCCTACAACAGGGCGCAAGATTCACAAAGGCTTTTAGTAAGCATTTGTTGAATGAATAAATGCATGTCTATCACAACATAGGCACTCGAAGTGTTTCTTTATTAATCTGTTTTGAAAAGAGACTTAAGGTTGAAATTTAGTCAGTTGATTTGATACAAAGAAATAATTGTTTAGAAAGCTCAAGTACCTTTTATGATTAATTATAAATAATATATGCATAAATATGTATGCATGTAGGCTTGATCACAGAGAGTGAATGAGAAAGGATTACACATATTGTTGATATCAGAAATAAGATTTTATTAAGTCAATGGAACAACAAAACATTTTAAATAGAAATTTTACTTCATTTTTATTTCTATAGTGGCTTCCATTTAAGAGGGGAAACTTTAAAATAAATGTAAATGTAAATATGTAAAATATAAAAATATAATTATAAGTCTATAGACATAATTTATAAGTCTGAAATTCTACTCAATTACATAGGAACTTCACTATAATAATGAGTTTCATATAATCTGAGATTTGTCTTGGAATTTTCCAAGGGGATTTTGTACATAAAGTACCAGAATCTCAAAATAATGTCATCTTATCTGAATAACCAAAGTTAGTATACAACTGTGTGTGTGTGTGTGTGTGTGTGTGTGTGTGTGTGTATACAGACATGTACAATTCTTTTAAGTGAAAGAGAAGAAGAAAACAATTTTGGCTATTAACTCACTGGTGGTGGGAGAGTGAGAGAGTGATGTACAAAGAGTGTTTCCTAGTAATTGTAACAACAGAATCTATAAAGTTCATAATATTTACAAAATTTTGATAGTATTTTTCCAGGGCAGTGGATCTTTTCAACCAGTATTGTGTGTCAGATTGATTCAGCTGGTTAGAACAGGGCATAATAAGCCCATAGTTATGGTTCCCTCCTTTATATCTAATGTGGAGAAATTGAAGGGATAGTTTTACATTTTGTGCTATGTAGACAGATACCTATAGATTTGGTGTTAAGATATCCAGATCTGGTCATTCTATGCCATGATTTTTCCTCACATTTTCCATTGTCTGTACTCAAAAACAGATTGTTGCAGGAAAACCCTGAAATGGAAGGCACGAGAATTAAGTTGTAATGCAGCATGTCTTTTGTTTTCTTTTTAATTCTTTTGACCTTTTTTGATCTCTGTTGTAAAACAAGGTGTTTGTATTTTTGAAGTTTTTTTCAACTTAAAATTGTATAATTCTTGGCTCTGGTCTATAATCAGATGGTATGACTTAGGCCTCATTAGGGAAGTTCATGAAAGAAAAAGTCCCATCTCAGGAAGAGATGTCTTTATTATGTAGTTTAAAAAGGTCAGGAAACTACCTTAGATGAATTTTTCTTAGTGACCTGTAACTCAAATTTATAAAATACTAGACCCTATGTTTTAGAGCCAGGTAGCTCTTAATTGGGTAAATTTGATTCAACAACTGTTTATAAAGGATCAGTTATGCACAAAATACAGAACTGGGCCACATGGAGAATTAAAGGATAAATCCATCCATTCACCAAATATTTGTTAAGCATTTGTGTCAGTCTCTATTTTGGGCAGTAGATGCAACAATGAGTAATACATGTGCTCTGTTGATGTGGAGCTTATGTTCTAGTAAGTGAAATTTGGGGCCTGCTCTCAACGAGTGGAAGTATATGGAAGGGGGTTGAGATTGGGGCCCCAAACCACTCTGTGACGAAGTATGATATCAAGGTATGGTAGGATAAGTGGCATAAAGAGAAGAACAAAGAATTAAAAGTTATGGGTGAGGATCCATAGAAGATAAAAGATCCAACCAGGGGGGTAGGAGAAATTGGTAGGGTTGGGGACAGTGAGCCGAGGATGAAGCTGTCTGCCAGATCAGAGAGAGTGCAGAAGGTACTGGGGTTAGGGCCTTGGGGTTAATGTTCGAGTTTGTAATTGTGAGTCATCAGAATGAAGGAGACAAGTAAGAAGGCATTCTGGGAGGAATATTGACCAGGTGGATTTAGTGTGAAACTAAGTTATGTAATAAAGACATAACAAGAATTGAGCTCTATAGTTTGAGCTGACACTTCCATGGGAAGATATACAGTGCCAGAAATCTTCATGTCATGGAGCCCTTCCTGGATATCTGGGAATGAGAAAGGAAAACCAGTCAATGGGTCCTCTACAGAGACTGCCCAGAAGCAGCCAACCCTCCTCCTTTTGTTGTCTGTAATTCTTGCACTCAGTATTATTTATAGAATCCATTTTTAATAAAATGATATTAAATGGCTGACATCTAAATTCATGAAAGACCTCATGAATTTGCCTATACATCAGGAAATGCAAAACATAGGTAGTTAACACATTTTGTAAGGGAGAATGATAGTCACAAAAGAACTATTTATCCATTTCTAGCTATTGTCTGAATTAAAATTTTTCACTGCTGTTCTGAAAACTTCCAATGAATCCTTTTCAGGAGGGCAGATTTCATTTGCACGTGTTCTGTGAGCAAGCCTGCAATGATTTTTCTCTATATTTTAATAATCAGAAAAGGATACCTTGAAAAATACATGACAAGCATTTTGTGGTTGCTACATAATTGACCGACCATCTCCTGTCCTCTGATCTACTAACTACCACCTCTCTGATCTACTCAACCTAAAACACTCCCCAGCCTACCTTCTACTCACTTTCTCCCTTTCGGTTATCCACATGTCATTTCATTTACCAACTATCACTATCACTTTCTGATTTTCCTCTGCATTCAAATAAAATTCATTATGAATTTTATTGTTCATATGTTGATTTTTCTTCCCTCTTTTGGAGGCCATTCATCCTAAACTCTCATCTCAAATCTCAGAGGGAACTATATTGTCTGAATGAGGGTCTCTTTGTCCCTGAAGGCTCTTGGTTCTTCAGGAGAGGAGAGGGAGATTGGAGCCTGCCCTTATCTCGATAGTAGCTATTCTCATTAAGGGCAGGAGCAATTTTGGTGGCAACTGTTCCACTAAATGAAACATAGGCTAGTCCTGAACTACTTACTTTTGGTTTAGAGACAGTTTCCAACTTAATTACTATCTTAGAAATAACACAGCCAGGCAAATATATGTAGGTGGATTAGATAATTTTTATGGAAGCTGCTCATACAAGACCCTTGTAGGAATCTGTCTTAACTCTACATTCCTCTGAAAACTGAGCCTGAGATAAGGGCTT